GCCACCCCAAAGCTGGGCACCATGCTTCCCGCCACCCCAAAGCTGGGCACCATGCTTCCCGCCACCCCAAAGCTGGGCACCATGCTTCCCGCCACATTTGCCGCCAGGCCTGGCTGTCCTCGCAGCTGACATCCCGGCTCTCAGGGATGGAAAGACAGCTACGTGGAAGCCCGTGGCTTCGGCTCAGTCAACGCTGCCATCAGGACTGGAACCCCAGCTTCCACCGCAGCCCGTGACCCGGACGGAGATCACACGGTGCTCGGGCCCGAGCTGGGAACTCCGGCTTGGCCGCTGGACTGTAATCCTCCTATTTTCTCCCTCCAGATAGATCTATATACGTCCATTAAGTGGAACAAGCCAGAAGAGACTTGTTTGGATGGGCGCCGTGGCTCACGCCTGTCATCCCAGCGACTCAGGAGGCTGAGATCTGAGGATCACGGTTCAAAGCCAGCCCGGGCAGGAAAGACTGTGAGACTCTGATCCCCAATGAACCACCATAAAACCAGAAGTGGCGCTGTGGCTCAAGGGGTAGAGCGCCAGCCTGGAGCTGAAGAGCTGAGGGACAGCGCCCGGGCCCAGAGTTCAAGTCCCACGACCGACAAGAATAAATAAAAATAAACAAAAATATTTGTCAATCAACGTTGCCACTTAATCCCAGACCGATCAACGTTTCCTAGCCCGCCAGAAGGAATACCTGAGTAGGGCCATGGTTGAAAATTAAGCTTTTTTTATTATGATAGTCACAGAAGATAAAAATCCATTACACCAAGTTATCCAGGTACAGTGGTGAATTAAAGATGCCTCCAGCAAATACCGATTTGATCCGTAAATATGTGTACATATAAATACATACCTATGCCAAAGGTACCACAAGTACACACACACACACACACACACACACATTTATGGATTCTGAGATAAAGTGCCTAAATCTCGATCTATGGGGTGGTACAAAGGAGGGGAAAAGAATCCTCGAGCGGTGTGAGTTGTGGCCTGTATTTTCTCAGGATCAGAATCCATTTTGCATTCATTTATTTAGATCTACTGAGCCCTAATCCCTCAACCTCAGATCTACTGAGCCCTAATCCCTCAATCTCAGATCTACTGAGCCCTAATCCCTCAATCTCCTCTGAACTTCTCCAAGTGGACGAACTCCTTCCCGAGGAGAGCAGCGGCCCTCGTGAACACAGGGTCAGCTGCCCCGTTCTCTTCCTTTTCCTGTCACTTGACCTCTAACCTTTCCGTTTCACGTAGGACAGCAATTCACACACACACACACACACACACACACACACACACAAAACCCCATTGGACCCTAGCAGGAGGTGAGCTGTGATGCAAAGCTGTCTGCAGGTCATTTAGGAAGAAGAATTAGGGGTGCAAGCATTATTAGAATCCCACGGGAGCTCCGATCTTCTTCCCAGGGTGTGTGTTTTTGGGGGGTGGGGGAGGGGGGAGCCTTCGGGAGAAGAGATTTTCATTTAAGGACAAGATAAAAGGTAAAAGAAAAACTTGGTGATTTAAGCTATCCAGAAATCCTCATTGAAAAAAAAAAAATAGGAACGAGATTTCGGCTTCCATTCCTGGTGCTTTGGGTTTTTTTTTCCTTTTTGTTTTCTGCTCTCTTTGCCATTAAAAAAAATTTTTTTTGGCCAGTCCTGGCACTTGAACTCAGGGCCTGGGCGCTGTCCCTGAGCTGCTTTTTGCTCAAGGCTAGTGCTCTACCACAGCGCCACTTCCAGATTTTTTCTGTGTATGTGGTGCTCAGGAATTGAACCCAGAGCTTCGCGCCTGCAAGGCGAGCACTCTACCACTGAGCCACCTGCCCAGCCCTCTCTTAGCCATTTTAAGCCAACAAACGAGTTGTATTTTTCCATTCTCTTCAACATTCAGGAATGATCAGGATCTTTCTGAGGAGATTTGGGGTTTTGAAATACACACACACACACACACGCTGGGTAGGAAAGCAGCCATTTCCGAATCTCAGCTGATCACAGGTAAGCTGGAGGTGGTGAGCCGGTCAGCGTGGAAATTGCATTAAAAACAAAACAAAACAAACCACCCCCTCAAACTTCCCCTAACCAGTCCTGGGGGAGGGGGAGGACTTGAACTCAGGGCCTGGGCGCTGTCCCTGAGCTCTTTCACTCCAGGCTGGTGCTCTACCCCTTGAGCCACAGCGCCATGTCTGGTTTTCTGGTGGTTCCTGGGAGATCAGAGTCTCAGGGACTTTCTTGCCCGGGCTGGCCTTGAATGGTGATCCTCCAGATCTCAGCCTCCTGAGTGGCTGGGATGACGGGTGTGAGCCATCTTTTGGGGAGGGGGGTGAAGGGAGGCTTTTCCGGCCTCCTCCTCCTGGTCCTCCTCCTCCTCCTCCTCCCCCTCCCGCCGCCCCGGCCGCGGCCTAGCTGCTGATCTTGGTGAGCATCTTGTTGAGGGCCTGCTTGACCTGCGTGGTGGAGCTGCGTCTCCGCGCCTTGCCCTGCACCAGCCGCCGGCGCCGCACCTCGCGGCCCAGCTCCAGGAAGAGCTCGGCGATGCGGCCCTGGCCGGTGCAGGCCGAGCACTCGTAGAAGCCGCAGGCCAGCTGCGCGGCCAGCCGCCGGCCCTCCTCCGCGCTCACCTGCCGCGAGTGCGCCAGGTCCGCCTTGTTGCCCACCAGCACCACCGTGGCCGGCTTGGGCTTCTTGATCTCGTCCAGAACGTTCTTCAGGGGCAGCACGTCCTCGAAGCTGCCGCGGTCGGTGATGTCGTAGACCAGCACGAAGCCCTCGCCCCACCGCATGTGGCCCTCGCGCTGCGCCCCGTCCTCCTGCGGGGGGCAGGGGGGCTGAGCATGGGGGGGGACCAGACAGGGAGGCGCGGACCCCACAGACGCCACCACAGCCCTTAACTGTCCCGGCTCTGGTCTTCCTTCTCTTTCTTCTCCCTCCTTCTCTTCCCTCCCTCCCTCCCTCCCTCCCTCCCTTCCTTCCTTCCTTCCTTCCTTCCTTCCTTCCTTCCTTCCTTCCCTCCCTTCTTTTTCTCTCCCTCTCCTCCTTCCTCCCCTCCCTCCTTCCATCCCCCCCTCCCTCCCTCCTTGCACGCCTGGTGTGGAAGGCTCTGGGCTCGCCAGCATCTTCCCCACATTCCTGGGAGTGTGCACACGGACACCCACTAAACCTCCACCCGGCCGTTGGTTCCTCTCTGCGTGGTGCCCACGGACGGATGTGCACACACCACGGATGGACGTGGACACACCACAGACGTGCACACACCACGGACAGACGTGCACACACCACGGACAGACGTGCACACACCACGGACGGATGCGCACACACCACGGACGTGCACACACCACAGATGTGCACACACCACAGATGTGCACATACCACGGACAGATGCGCACACACTATGGACGGACGTGCACACACCATGGACGGACGTGCACACACCACGGACGGATGCGCACACACTATGGACGGACGTGCACACACCATGGACGGACGTGCACACATCATGGACGTGCACACACCATGGACGGACGTGCACACACCACGGACGGATGCGCACGTGCACACACCATGGACGGACGTGCACACACCACGGACGGATGCGCACACACCATGGATGGACGTGCACACATCACGGATGTGCACACACCACGGACGGATGTGCACACACCACGGACCGACGTGCACACACCACGGACAGACTTGCACACATCACGGACGTGCACACACCACGGATGGATGTGCACACACCACGGACGGACGTGCACGCACCACGGACGGACATGCACACACCACAGACGGACAGAACACACCACGGACAGACGCGCACACACCACGGATGGACGTGCACACACCACAGACAGATGTGCACACACCACGGACAGACGTGAACACACCACGGACAGACGTGCACACATCACGGACGTGCACATACCATGGATGGATGTGCACACACCACGGACGGACGTGCACACACCACGGACAGATGTGCACACACCACGGACGTGCACACACCACGGACAGACTGCACACACCACAGACGGATGCGCACACCCCACGGACAGACGTGCACCCACAGTGATCTGCCTGAGCCTCCCCCAAATACCTTACCATAAAAGCAAACCAGAACCAAGCCAAGCTATGGCGTTGGGGCCTGACCGCGCTGACCGCGCCACACGGGCTGGGCGGAGTTCTGGGGTCGCGGGGTTTGCACACCCATCCCAGTGTGTGGGGCGGCGGAGACCCGGGGACAGCCCCACCGAGACGCCACCCTGTCCCCTGGACGCCCAACAAACAACAACAACAACAACAATAACAATAACCAAACCCTCCGGCACCTGCCCGGCCGTGTCCAGGATTTCCATAGAAATGGTTTCATCATCGATGGTCGCCTGGTGTTGGTAGGTGGATTCTGGGGGAAGGAGACAAGAAAGACGGCACAGGGGTCAATGCGATGCACGATTCGATGTCACCCTGAAAATACAAAATGAGGGCCGGGCGCCGGTGCTCACGGCTGCCATCCCAGCCACTCAGGAGGCTGAGATCTGAGGATCGCGGTTCAAAGCCAGCCCAGGCAGGAAAGTCCATGAGACTCTGATCGCCAGTGAACCACCAGAAAACTGGAAGTGGCGCTGTGGTTCAAGTGGTAGAGCACCAGCCTTGAGTGAAAGAGCTCAGGGACAGCGCCCAGGCCCTGAGTTCAAGATCCAGGACAGATACACACACACACACACACACACACACACACACACACACACACACACACACACAGAGCCTCTCAATCATGGCTGAAAGTTGATTTCTTTGAACATGTTCTCTGTCTGTCTGTCTGTCTCTCTCACAACACCCAAGCTCACCACAGCCCTGTGATTAAGTCCCTGTGCAAGCTGGCGGTACTAGTGCTTTGACACAGAGTTGAAAGGCCCCGGGCTGGGCGTGTGTCCTGGGCTGGGCGTGTGTCCCGGGCTGGGCATGAGCTGCGGGGAGAGGGGTCCCAGCCAGGGGGGCCACGGCTCCCCACACGTGCCTCTCCCCTGCCCGGCCCCTCCCCTGAGCGTAGAGACAGACAGCCACCCTGCACACGCGCACGCGAGCACACACACACTCACACACACACACAGATCTCTCCTCTGACAGGTGGAGGCCAGGCGCTCCCCCGCCCGGCCCTGGCCCTCAGCTCCACACTGGGATTCCGACGACAGGCCACGATCTGCGTGGAGCCACGCGCGGCGGCTCGCGCCTGCAGCCCCGCCTCCTCCGGGTGGACGCCGGGACGCAGCAGGGTGGAGACGCGAAGCTGGCGCAGGCCGAGAAGCCTTGGGATTCCAGCTCCAACACAACCAGCAAAAAGCGGGCTGGAGGCGTGGGTCTGGTGGTAGAGCACCCATGCGAGCAGGCAAGCCGAGATGGCGCCCGGCCTCTGAGCTCAAGCTCTGTGCCTGGAAAAAAGGAAAGGAAAGGAAAGGAAGGGAGGAAGGGAGGAAGGAAGGAAGGGAGGGAGGAAGGAAGGAAGGAAGGAAGGAAGGAAGGAAGGAAGGAAGGAAGGAAGGGAGGAAGGAAGGGAGGGAGGGAAAGAGCGAAGGAA